AGTAGCCCCAACAAGTCTGGATCCAGAGGAGCACCCGTCTGACGCAAAATCATTGAACCCAGTGCGCTGCTTTCAATTCTCTTCCACCATCCCCAGCCTGTCGCACCCCACGCGGCTTCCCCAGACGGTCATGGACATGCCAATACAAAAACAAAAACAATATATATATATATAGATATATTCTGTGACGATGGCACCGAATCTTTCTTGGGCTCTCAGCTATGGTGGTAAATTCCTGCGCAAGGTCATCAATGAGGCAATGAAGCAATTCAGCGGCCCCAGCGTACGTGCGAGCAAGCTGCCCTCCATCAATGCCTCCACGCGCATTACTACTCTACCGTTTCCTCTGCCGTTTCCTCTGCCGTTTCCTCTGCTTCCTCCGTCTTCTTCCTCTTCCTCCCTCCTCCGTTGCCTTTACCCTTCCTCGTTCGTCGACTTTTTCTTCGTCGTCGTCGTTTCCTTCTGCGTTTTTAACGCCTTGCGTCACTATTTGGGTCTTGCTTTCAAGTAGAGCTTATCTTCGTGATGTTGGTGGCAAATCATAGTTGAGAGAGTGACATATACACACACACACACACATATATATATATATATATATATATTCTGAGCTGCTCATACTGCTGATTGGTGATTAAACAGGGAAGTAAACATATTGTATATTATGATTTTGCTCTTGAGCTCTTTCATATTTCATTGTTTCTGAGGCAAGAGAACAGCGGTTTATTAACTATATTGTTCACTTCCGTAGAAACTTGTAAAGGCTGACATCTGTTAATCGATATGTAATTAGGATCACTTATTTGCAAGTCCAGAACCTAAACCTGTGTTTTGAATATTGATTTTTGTTTATTATTTGTTTAATTGGATTGCTCTCAAGACGTTGATACAAAAACAACTATTATCATGGTGTACAAAAAAAAAAAAAAAAAAAAAAAAAAGAAAAAAGTTATGATTTTTTTCATTTTTTTCATTGTATCCCCTTTAATTTATTTCATGATTGAAATTCTGTCAACAGAACACCTGTATTCTTCACCAAAAAGTCAATACTAATAATAATAATATTATTGGAATGCTTTATTCACAGAGATTCTTTAGATTGAGTTTGCACAACTGTTACTTCCTGTTCATCCTCCAAATTAGTGAACTGATGTCAACATTTTGTGGACTCTGTATGAGACAAGTATATGCAGTGAAGCTTAAATACCTCATTCATTTATTCATTCAGGCAAAGGTTGAACAATGCAGTGTGAACTTTGCAATTTTGAAGCTATTCACTTGCCGGATCTGCTCTGTGCACAGGGAGTAAGAATCCAAGATGTATTGTAATTGTTTTAAAATAATCTAAAACACCATGTATACCCTTTTATGTGTCAAAAAAAAAGGAAAAATAATGTTGAACATTACCAATGTCATCAATAAAAACACATAGAGCCGTTAATGAAACAAATAAGTTGGTGTGTATGTTCATAAACATCCTTCCCTCCCCTTTATGTATTCATTTTGTCATTTCTTATTTATTGCTGTGGATTCTTGGGATGTGCAAAATTTATTGTTTGGGGAAGGGGAGCAAACAGCAGCAAATTTAATAGAAAAAAGTGGTTTTTTTTTCCTCCCTTTCACTATCACTTTTTCTAATTTTCTTTTTCTTTTTCTCATAGATGAAAGAGGTTGCTGAGCTGAAATGCATTATAAAAGTAAGAAAAGCTAGGACCTTTTTTCCTTCTCCCCCCACTTTCTCCTTTCTGTTATTATTATTATTTTTTTTTATTATTTTTTTTTCAGTTTAAAAAAAATACATGCAAGGGCCACTATTGGGATTCGTTGGGAGTTGTAAGGGATCCACTAGAGGAATGTTGTACATAAAATGGGATGGACTTGTTTGTTTTTGGGTACATATATGTACATGTGCACATGTGAATTTACAAGGCTGCCTGCTAATGAAAGTAAAAATGGAAATTAGTATCTGAAAAGGAGAATTGGGCACACCATAGAGTCCCTCAGGTGGAATGTGCCATATACAGACAAATAAATAAGTAAATGAATTTGAGTTGAGGTGGGGAGGATACATGCTACAGTGGGCTCAGTTTGTTACGTTTTGTTTTGTTTTGTTTTTTTTTTTTGTTTTTTTTTTTTTTTGTCATCCTGTGCCCATATTAGCATTGTTAATATAAAAAGGAAGAAAGAGAAGAAAGAGGGAGAGTTTGTCCATAAAAGTCTGCCCTCTTCCCTTTCCCATCCATGAATTCATCCACACACTTTCAGCCATTCGTGAGCTCCTCCTCCTCTTCTTCCCCACTGTGTCATGTCGCCTCCACTTGGCAGCACAACTTTTCGTGCTACAAATGCACTCACATATGAACATTCAAAATATCAGCAGATTTCATTTTTTTATATTTATTTTAAAATCTTGTAGTTACCTTTATTCAGATGTTTTGTTTGGATGAGTGGTGATCAGTGATGCATGGTATCTCACCGCCTTCTCAATTTCACAGCAACTCTTTCTCTCTCTTTCTCTCTCTCTCTCTCTCTCTCTCTATATATATATATATATATATATATATGTATTATTTACTCTTTTTTATTTTGTTGTTCATGAGGAGAAGCAGAGCTGGCACTGGGTAGAAAGAGTGGGATTGGGTAGTTCTTTCTTTCTTTGGTTTAGAGGCCTTTCAGTGTCTCGCTGCCTGTCTGTCTGTCTGTCTGGCTACCACCATGGCTGGGCTGGGCTGGTGCCTGCCTGACTGCCTGCCTGTCTGTCAGTCAGTGTCTGCCTAGTTTCAAAGCATGGCAGGGCAGAAAAGAGGAATGTGCACAAGGATATATAACTTAGACAGAGAGAGAGAGAGAGAGAGAGGGAGGGAGAGAGAGCTAGGCTGGGTGGAGAAGCTATATAATTTGGTTGGTTGATATATATAATTGAAGGAGGGGGGGATTACCTACTTCTCTCTCACTACACTACCCCACTTTTTCTCTCTCTCTCTCTCTCTCATTTCTGCTTCCTCTACTTCTGACCTACCTACTTACCTACCTACTCCATAACCAACACATGCCTCCCTCACCAAATACCCACCCTTTCTTATGCGCATGCTTGCCTGCAAATGTGTGTGTGAGTGAGTGAGTGTGAGTGTGTATCACTGTGTTGGAGAAGTGTGTCAGTCTGTGTTTGCATCTATCAAGGGTGGGTCAGTCAGAATGTCTCCTTGGAAACTGCTTGAGCAACAGGCTTAAATACACATAATATTAAAAGAGGGAAGAAAGAAAAGTAGGCAAGGGAGGGAACTTAATTGTGGGGCTGTTGTTTTTTGTAAGGTTGCTAGCTTCCTCTGTTGCTGCCCTTTTGTCATCATTTGGGAAAGGGGTGGGTGACATTCTCGCTTTTGTCTTCATCTTTACCCTCTCTGCATTGCATGGGTGGAGACAGACAGGAAGAAGAAGCAGAAGATGCAGAATCAAAGGATGACATGGCATGCAGACACACACACACACACATGCATACATATACATATATATATATTCATATGTATGTACAGATTTTCTTCAACTCAGCTCGTGCTTGTGGCTGGAGCTGTACCATGACAATCAATCACTGGTCATCAGTATGCAATGTATTTAATGGAACTGCTTGTGCAAGGAAGGAAGGAAGGAAGTGGAACAGCACCCATGGAAAGTGGGGTTGATGGAACTCTCTTTTTGCATGGACCTTCAATATATACTTATGCACATACATGTTAAAAAACTTGCAAAGAGGGTCATAAGAGTCATCACAATAATAATTTAATAGTACTAGTAGAAGTGCCACAACTGGTTTGTTGGCTTGTTTTCTCTCTCTATATATATGTATACAGATGTGGATTTTTTTAAAAAAAATTTACTTGCCTTTCTTTCCATGAGAGGTGATTGGATGTGATAGGAAAAAATTATGATTTTATTTTCAAGGTTGAGTTTTTCATTTAGCGGTTTCATGGGATTCTTATGCAGTTATATATGCATGCCATCCAGCCAGCAATGTATGTAAAATGTTTGTGAATATGTGTGACTGTGTTACTAGTATTTGTTTTTAAATGAAAATTTACATTATAAAGACAACTTTATTGCAATTTGAAGTTTGTAGCAATTTATGTCTGCTTCAAAACAGATTACATATTTTGATTTTACATCAACTCTTCTGGAAGCCCTTACTTAAGGAGAACTAATGAGAAGTTTGATTGAAATTTATCTGATAGATAAAATTACATATGATTTTAAATTTCCCATCAAATTTTTTTCACAAGTTATTTTTATTTTGATTTTTATTTGATATGATCAAACAAAATCCCAGTTTTACTTCTTCTTCGACTCTAATTCAATTATCTACATCTAAATTAACTACAGATGTAATTAACTGACCCCTCTGATTCTTTTCAAATTCCAAAATTGCCTTCTGCAGGTCAAGTGTAGTAGTTGAAAGGCGAAGGTGGGATTGATTGACATGAGACAAATTCAATACAGAGTTATGAGTGGTTGGCCACAAAAATCAATTGCCATGGCAACAATCTTAACTCCAACATGCAACCCCTAAAACACACACACACCATTTTTCTCCAAATATTATAAAAGCAACAAAATAAATACGTTATTATTACTATTATTATACTATTACCCTCTTTCCCAAGAGGTGCTGAAATGGTGTGGGGCCATGAAAACGACAACACAACAGAATTGATGGTGCAAGTTGCATTTCCTGCAACAGTCGCGACGAAAAGACGAAACCACAAACCCACTTCTGCTTTTCACTTTTTCAGTCGAAACGTTTTCGTCTGCCATTCTCTTCCACCACCTCACCTCTATCGTCGCCTCTCCGTCAGCGAAGGCTAACGAAAGATAACGAAGGTCGAACGAAAGTCGAACGAAGTCGTGGAGGATCAAGGTGGTGGCTATGGCGGCCAAGTGGGCCGTAGCGATGGCAGGGCCCCACGCGAGAGCGAGCGAGCGAGCTTGACCCTCCTTGGCCTCGCCGGAGCGCGCAATGCGGCCGTTTTGTTTTCTAGTTTCGATCCAAACCTGGTCGACAAGCGCGCGCTGCCTGCGCTCACAATTGTACCGGACCAGCTCTTTCCACGACATTCGCCAGATGGTGCCGTGATAGCTCATTTACGGTCACCTTGCGAAGAAGGAGAAGCAGTAGAAGAAGCAGAAGCAGAGCACCAGGGTTGATACTCCACAGCTATAGCTGCTCGTAACGCTCGCGCCCAGGGTTGCATGGATTGGTGTAGTTTTGTTCGTGGGCTCTCTGTCGTGACCATACTGCCGGTCCTGAGAGAGCTCGAGCTGAGTTGGGATGCATAGGAGCTGCTGCAGGATTGGAGTGATTAGTGTGCTTTTAGGTACCTCCAGGTTTTGAAAAAAAGTGTTCTTAGGGGGCATTGGGGACAATGGGGATGTGGTGGGACGATTGGAAATGTTGGTTCGTTGTTCCGAATTTTGTCTAGGTGTCGTTTCACTAGTGTTGGCCAGTGGCACTGGTCTTGATGGTTGCGGAAGAGCGTGATAACGAGGCTTGAGTCTCAGGGACTTTCTCGTAGTTTTGCACTGAGGAATTGTGCAAAAGCGTGGCGGACATGGCTTGGTTTGACTCGAGTTTGATGGTCTCAGGATCAGTTCGTGATGTGGTTTTGTGTGGGAGAGTGCTTTAGTTCTGGAAGGAGGCACTGGTTTTGGACTGCGTCAGTGAAGTCTACCTGAAGTGTTTCTCTTTGCCACGGTTTCATGATTAGCTTAGTTTCGTGAGTGTGGGCGGCTGGAGAAAGTGTCATAGATGAGGGTGCTGGCAGTGTATTTGCAATGGAGTTGGAAGCGTAAGAGCCGTTATCGACAGTTATCCTCGTCCTGCCTGCTCTTGGAAATGGAATCATTCGGAGTATCGTAACTTGGTTTGGTGTGCTCCCCTCTAGCACATGAAGTGGTGCTGTGCGTCTGGCTAGTAGTTTCTCCGTACAGTAAGCGATCCTCGTAAACTGGCCTAAGTACTTCGTCACTGGTCGCTGTGAGCGCCATGGCTCATTACGATGTAAAGAACGAAGGATAGAGTTTGATTGATTGATTGATTTATTTATTTTTATCTCTCGTAGATTAACACGATAGCGTACATCGTTGTGCTCGCACCCCCATCCAATGTCTATTGTCCTTGTTGGGATTTGGCCTTGAGTGATCGAGTTGCTGTAGGTTAATTTTCCGGAACCCTGTTCGCCTTCTTGCTGGGACTGGTATGTCTAGCTAACTCGTTACTCTGTAGGGAGATCCTTGTGTAAATTTTTGTACTTGTTTACTGTTTTCAGTAATTGGCCTTGGACCCCTTCAATTTCAATCCCTTGTTCACGTTGTTCCTGCGCAACTGTTTCGATGAATTAGTAGCATTACCCGTGTTCATGGGTTGCCTACTTGTTAAACAGGTTATCGGGCGCTTTGCGTATGCTTTCACAACGTACCGTAGCAAGATGTAATGAATGCTGCTGTCTCTAGTGACGGTGCACGCTTTCATCTCTACCTACTTGCCAGTGCGGGATTTGATGTTCCTACTCCAGTTTTCAATTGTGATCAACACTGTGGAAGATGGGTTCATCCATGGCCGAGGTGGCTCCTGAGGTCTCAATAGTGGAGGAAATGGTGAAGAACAGTGAAGATAATCATTGTATGATATTTAAATGTAGTAGTGGGGGTGAGCTGGATCGTAGAAGTGGTCAAATGGATACCCAGATGGATGAGAGGAATCCTAGCGAGGTTTCGGCGTTTAGATCAGCTGAGAATAAAAAAGTTCACGAAAATCATGACCCCTTAAATAATTGGGGCTATAAACCTGGGGAGCCTGATTATACACTCAAAGGGAATGGAAATGCTGTTTCTCAGGTTCATGAAAACGGGGATGGAGATTTGCCGTCTTTTTCTATCAAAAGACTCAGAAGGTTGCCACATCGAGTTAGTCCTGATAACCAGCCAAGCACTTTGGCCTTGAGATGTGAGCTAATTGAAAGCGTAGTGGATCAGAATCGTGTGCATGATGAGAAGGAGATTAAGCGAGGTGTGGGTGAAAATGTGACCGATGCTTTATCAGGGGGCAGAATTGAAGCTGGATCTAATTGCCCGCCACCATTGCAGGCCGAAGCGACTGTTCACCAGAGACAGAATCTTTCTGATCCTGACATTGTTGACACTGGTCATTGTAGCGGTGATTCGGTAAGTTTATCCCAGCAGATATCGAAGCTTGCTAACATTACCAGCACAAGAGATGACGTGGGAGATGCTCAAGAAGGTTCACCGAATGTTCTGAAACAGGGCACAAGTCCTATTTTTCCGCCTGGCGTGTTAAACGGAGAGATTCGGGACAACGAGCCCGTGAAGGTTGGAAATGAAGGAACCGAGCCTCAAAATCCTAGCAGCTCTGGATCAGACAGTGCAGAAAAACCGCTCGATCCCAATTTTCCAGATGGAGTTGTTGCAAATCAGCTTTCGTCGGAAACGAAAGGCCAGACAGGAAGTATTTTGGATAGAGAAATGGCTGCAGTCAATGGAGACGGTTCTGCAGCTTCTGAACATGCATCAGATAGTTCAAACCTGTCACGAGGAGATGATGGAAGATGGCTGAGCACGTCTCCGTCTGCCGTCCCAAGTTCCGTACTTGAACCTCCTGCACGTAGGTTGCAAGTTGATGACACTGTTCAGGGAAATGAAGCACCTGGAAATTCAGATATGGCTTCGTCATCTGCCGGACAAGGTAGTGTTTCTGAAATGGCTAGCTCGGGGAACGCCTCGGCAGTCACACCCACTGAGGACTTGAAACCAGGTATGTCTGTATTTCGTTTGTTTTTTGTGCAGCGGAACAACCTGTATCGATCGTCCGAACAAGCTTTCCACTTAAGCTTGCATCACAAACTTTTCTGATTTTGTTTTCATAACGTCGTGCGATGTGCGAGAGATGGACGATTCTCGGATTATGACTTATTTACTTAATGTGTTGCAGACGCACTTACAGAGAATGATGGAATCATTAGGGACGTAGTTATCTCTGTTGCCTCAACAGAGCTACCAGAGGCACCCTCCTCTGGTATTGTACAGATTCTGGCCCCAGTTACAGGGAGCAGGTTTGGAAGTCCAGGGGAGACGACTGATGAAGAGACTGACTCACCAAGGAGCAGCGAAGGCTTTTCTTATCCTGACTCTGATATGATGGCGCTCCCATACTCGGGACAAAACATGTATCCTGCACGCTATTCCTATGCACAGTCGCAGAATGGGCCAAGTATACTCCAGTATGCTGGAAGTGTGTCCTTGCGGTCTGATAGCAGCACTACAAGCAACCGGTCTTTTGCTTTTCCAATGTAAGGAGGTAACCAGATGGAGCTCTTGGAATTTTGCGACCTTGGTTGCGTCTCCTAATGAGTCATCAGGACAATTTTCTGCACTATTGCTTGAGTGGATTCTTTTTTCATGAACAGCAGTTAGAATTCATTTCTGCATCGATGACCCGATACAGCCATTTACTACACGGCAACTGTGGCTTTTTCACCAAATTTACCCCATCCCTTGGGGTAAATTTTGCTCAATATCGGGGTTTTTTTTCTTCTTAGAATTTTACTTGTAGGTAGCATTTGGACAATGGTTTCCCTTCCAAGTTTTCCCTCTCTCATTCTATTAAAGCATACTGGTTGTATCGTCTGATGGACGGTACTACACTTCTTTCTTTAGAGAAATGTCCTTGGCTTGATGTAGCCGACAATTGTAATTTTTTGTGCGCAGCCTGGCCCCTCCCGATTATAATAGCAGCCCAGTAAGAATGGCGAAACCCGACCCTCGGTATTTGAGACGGAAGAGTCGATGGGGTAGTTGCTGTTTCTTCAGCTTATGTCGGTCAGGTTCTAAGTACTAGGTGAGTTTATCTCTATACTCTAAAAGTCACATGTATCACAGCCTGTGGACATTTCTTTTCCCTTCACTTTTGCCGCCTGAAAATGTTTCCAACTCTCTTGCCACTTTAGGAAATAGCTTTTGAGTTTGGTGATACTTAGTGGTTTGATTAATACATTGGTTCATTTGGATCTTCCTTTCTTGGAAGTTTTGGGGAGTACCGTGGGTACATTTATGAGGTGCTATTTCAAGTTAGAAACAAGGGTTGCCAATTTAATCCGTCTTCTCTCAAATCTTTTTGGGTCTTTCACAGATCTAGGGTTTCATACAGGGGAGTACACTAACTTTTCGTTTTCTGTCTGAATTGTGAACAATGCTGTCCAGGTTTCATTGTGAACTGAACTCGTATCTGCTGTGCCTGATTTACCGCGTGCTCGTTCAGCAATAAAGTTGGTAATTACTCTTCAGCAGAGACTTCTACACCGTTCTTTTGATGACCAATTTTTCAAGAAGCATAGAAAAAGTAATTATAATATCTTTGAATTAGGTTTCGATGCGGTTGTGGTTGTTATTGATTTATTTATTTATTTTGATATCCCTAAAATGAACCGTATTTAATGTGATAACTATCTATAACTTGTAAGTTCATTCGGACTCTAGTATTGCAGGCACTAATTTGCACCTGCTTACGAGCTATGCTGCTAATGAACTAATTATGTGCCTTTTTGGAGCAGGTCTCAATTAATGTATGTGCTGTATAATTCGTATTTTTGGAGAGGGGCGCTCAGAGACGAATCAAATGCTCGGTACTAAAGCTTGGGACTGCTCTGCAGAAGAGTAATTACGAGGAGACATCCTACATTCCTTTTTCAACGTAATCCGAAGAGATCATCGTCACAGAAAATGTCGAGAGTTTTGAGCCTATTCCCTGATCGTGTTTACAGGACAAAAGTCTGTCCACACTTCTCTCGGGATCCTAATGTTTAAACTATACAGTAGAATGAAGCTGACAACTTGCCTTCACGGTTTGTGTGAATTGAGGCTTTATTCGAACATCGACAGTGGAAACATTGCAATAATAAAAATTAAGACCTGTTTTGTTGGAGCATGGCGGCCTCTGGTTGAAGTGAAAAAGGTGCTGTTCTATTAATGAACGCATTTCGAGCTGGTTTCCGATGTTGGTTTCTCGTTTATGGTTATATATACCTGTCAAGTATGCGTTTTGTGAATGTTTGCCGCTGAAAGATGAAACTGAAGGTAATTCAGGACCTCTCAGTTCCATCTTAGTCTTATTATCTTCGCCAATTTTTATCAATGTCTCCTAACTCAACCTAATTTTTCATGATAAATAATATCTATGGTATATATTACAAATACGGATGCAGTCGAAACGAAATATCTGTGACTATTTACATGAAACTAAAAATATCGTTCCCATCTTGGACAATTTCCGCTAGTGGAACAATTTTTTTTCAAGGATTCACCAAGTACACTACAGTACAATAAGTATGTGTCACATGGTTAAAATTTTCATATGTACAAACAAGGGACTATGAACTGTAAAATGAAGGGCCTTTTCTTCTGTACTACCTGAAAACACAAATGTATAGTCCTTCATAGAACTGTCAAGACAGTATTTTTTATTAAAACGACGAATTTTATTAAACGTAATAATTTCAATTCATGAATCTTGATGTATGAAGATTCCCAACTATTCCAATAATGAAGTACGAAAAATATTCTTGATTAAATGAAGAAAAAGTGACATTAGACAAGTAAATCTTATTGATATCATCATAAATTTTTTCATAAGATAGTATCAGAGAAGTGAACGCCTTGAAGGTATATCTAAACTTCTATTCTTGAATAAAAAAGTTAAAATAAGTCAGCAAAGAAACAAACAGAAAAAAATATAGTTTTTAAATTTATTCGTTTTGCTTCCAATTTCTTCACACATCACAAACAAGTTAGTAAGAGTCTACTCTACCATTCATCTACAAATCAAAGTTATGCAAAGACATTGCATGATTTACCATTATCCTTCACCGACGGCAAGGTTGATCACCAAATAGATGTGCAAAAACAAGCATCGTTGATCGATAGAAACTCCCACATGGACAGCATTGCCGTGATTCATTCAACAATCAATTCACCATGTTCGATGCATGAAGCAGGCTGCAAGAGTCGACGAAGTCTCGTATACCAGATGGGTTCCACGTTAACCAATGTCAACTATCGAATGTGAGTTGCATAGACGCACTTTCGTGGATGGGATCAGGTTTGGAGAGATAATCTTTCGTCGTCGATGTGCAGATTGCAGACGCACACATGACGATGACAACAACTACAACGACGACGACCACGACGACGACGACGGCGGCTCCTAGAAGCGCAGTGCAGTGCAGTCGAGTGCTCAACACAGTGATCAGGGATTAGGAGGAGGAGAGTGGACAAGACCGTGCGATGAAAAGGTAGAGCCAGGTGGGAGGCGAGTCCCAGCGACGCGATCTCCCGCCGCCAAGTGTGCAGCTCCGTGAAGGAACAATCTCCCGCAGGCAATCTCCGCTGCCCACCTCTCCAACCCTGCGCGGCATCCCAACCCAGACCAATGCTTCGCCCGCCACATGGCCTACACACTACCTTGCGCTTCTTCTCATGCGAGACAGTATATCAACCCATAGTTACACAATGCTTACAATCGAAAAAAAAAACACACACACAGCATCGACGTTGCATTACACAGGAATCAGTTCTAGCTAGTCAGATATCAAGCAAGCGAGAGAGCGAGAGAGAGAGAGAGAGAGAGAGAGAGATTGTAGTCTTTTGTTTGATTGTGTGAGAAGTTCAAGTTCGAAATGGCGGCAACGATCAGCGCTGCAACTGCGATGGTGGCAACCACCAAGCTGTCGTCCGGCAGCTCCGTGGCCTTCAACAACTCCGACTCACTGAAGATGAAGATGGCTGTGTCGCGGCGCAACGCCCGATCTCTCGTCATCCGCGCTGCAGGAGAGCCCGGCACGGGAAAGGACGAGAGGGTGAGCGATGCTACCCCCACTCCCTCACTCCCATCGCTGCTGCTGCTGCATTGCTCGTCTTCTCATTTCACCTCACTCTCTCAACCCCAATGCAATTTATTAACGAGGCGTTGATCGACGTGGTTTTGGTTGCAGAACTTGGGCGACAAGTTCAACGACGCAGTGACGGAAGTCTCCAACAGAATCCAGGACGCGATGCCCGCCGGCACTCAGCCAGGAGGTGTAGGCAGGAAGCCCGGAGACGAGTGGACACAATACAGCTCCACAGGCGAGCTCAACCAGTCGAAGAAAGAAGCAGCGGAGCGCGACAACCCAGACGGACTCAACGTCATGGTAAAAACTTCTCTCCCTCCTCTGTCCCAATTTTTGTGGCTCATTCTCACAATTTCTCCTACACTTCCATTGCCATTACTGCTGCTTTCTCTAACTCTGTGAAATACTTCTCTCCTTCAACAGGACAAGCTGCAAGACGCAGGCAGGACGTTGAAGAGCAAGACCAACGACGTGGTGCAATATGGGAAGAAGCGCAACCCCAACACCACCGAGGACAACGCCATGGAGAAGAACATCAAGGTCCAGTCTGACTACACCAATAGCAAGTGAACAAAGCTCATCTAAAGAGAAAAGAGAGCCGTTTGTTCTTTTGTTACAAAGACAGAATGAAATACAGAAAGTGTGTGTGTGTGTGTCTGGCTATCTGAGTGTGAGTTGTTCTTTCTATGTATACTTTGTACAGTTGTGCCAGGCATATCTTCGGTGTGTATGTTGCAAGAAGCGTAGTTCGCATCCGCACTTTAGTTTTTGGTGCAGAAAAGCGTGCTCGCTGTGCACAATATGGCCCAGTCTGGAAACTTGAATAATTTCCTTGAAATTGAGCTCAAATGTTTTTGATACCCATCTCTCTCTCTTTCTCTCTCGCTTTATGTGACTCTGGATTTTGAGCATTCTGTGCGGTTTGATGATTCAGTTTGTTTGTGTGTGTGTGTGTGTTTGTGTGTTTCGTTTGATCATCGTCTGTGTGTTTTGAGATTGTGTGTGTTCTTAAACCATGCTTTCTTTTGTTTGTGTGTGTGGGGGGGGGGGGGTAATGTTGTGTTGTTTTTATGCACGTGTTGTAGAATAGTGCAGTTGATTACTTCATGCGTTTGTGTTTGAGTGTCATCCTTTTTTCTGGTTCTAGATGTTGGCCTGTGTGTACTATTATGTGAACTATTTTCTTTCGGTGTTTTGTGTAAAGATTAATGGAATTCTTTATTCTTGTGTGTTCGTGAATACTAAGTTTTTCATTTTTTGGATTGAGCTGAGTTGCCCAGGATTTGCACTCACTCACAGACCAACAGACCAGTTTTGATTTTAATTTGATAAGTTTTCAATTTGTCGTCTGGTCATTAATTTTTAATTTTCAATTTTTTTTCAAAACTAATGAGTTGTTTTTTCTAGCGAGTTGTTAAGACCCTCTTAATTATTTTCGGGCAAAAAAGGAAACAATTCTGTTGTTTTGAATATCTTTCAAATGTGCTGCATTTGTGAAGGAAAATAACTTTCTTTAAAAATCTATGGAACAAATATTTATGGTTGTTTTAAAACATCATATTTTTTAAAGTGAGCTTTAAACAAGAACTTGGAAAATTTACAAACACGCCAAATTGAAAAGTATACAATATTTGTTCTGTGTAAGAACATTTATTATCAGTTTTTCAGAATATTATTACTTGTATATTCATCAGTTTTGATTTATTGTCAATTTATATACATAAACCAATAGGTGTTCTGTATTTTACTAAATTGAACCACTTTCTTAACAATATCAAAATCAAAATTTGATTTTTATTTACATATTTAAATAAAAAATATACATAAATACATTAAATAGAAAAATTATAATTATAGATGATAAAAGCAGTCTCTCCATTTAAAAATAAATTCACTAATTTTGTTTCAAACAAATTATTATTGACGTTTTGATGATGGTTTTGAAATTACATTTTTAGTACACCTTTTTGATATGTTACAATTACACTCATTTTCTAAACTATTTTCAACTACTTTCCTTCTCACTTTATCTTGTACATTTACGTTACCTTCATCTATATTGCTAGAATGCTACAATTGATTAAAATCATGCTCCCATGTTTTTTGAACTGTGTTGGAATATAAGTGACGTTCATTTGTACAGTTTAATACTTCTAAGCGAGCTTTTTGCAAAGCAATACATTGTTCCCGACATTGTTTGCCATATTTTGTACACACTTTTGGATCATCTCTATTAATGAATTTCCCGGTTTTTATTACATCAAGAGGATCACTTTCAGAGACATATTTATAGCATGTTTTTGTATGTCTATTGATTGAATTACAAAAATACGATTTGCCATAAATCTTTTCCAAGTTACATTTTTTGTTAATATGATGGCACTCATCTTTTCCTTTTAATGACGTCATTGTGATTTTATTCTCATTTTTAAGATGAGGATTATCTTGCATGTAGTCATTACATGTTTTTTCTTGCAAACTATTCCATTGATCATCATTTATCAATGAATCTTCTACACTTGGAGAAGTTTGAGTATCTTCATCAAAACAATAATTTTGACCTTTGGAAAATTTATGGTTTTTGTTTATTTTGGGTAAGAAAGTTGGCGGAACAAAACTTTTCCTTGTACTTTTTGCAAATGGTTCAATCTTCTTTACTACCTCTTCATAAATATTACAAAAATCAATGCTTTCAGAATCATTTTGCATTATGAATTTTGCATCATCAAACACAAATGGAATAAAATTTTCATCACTAATATTGTCTCGTGCTTTATGTTTGAATTGTGACTTTTGAGATTGGAAGAAAAATTCATCTTCTACTATGAATTGGCATCTTCTAGAATAATTGTGTAGATTTGGCAAAGTCGATTTTGTCATACTTCTTTTCTTTTGGTAAGTACCTACACTCAAAGAAGTTTTTTTCTTGGTAGAGAATGTATTCATATTTTGTTTCCCATAGTTGCACTTTTTATAAAAGGGATAAACATTTGGTTTACTTTGTTTAGATTTATCATTGAGTTTACTTTTGTAGGGTTCGTTTCTTTGATAAGGATATGGATTGCAAGGATACAATGTTTTGTTTTCTTTCTCACTTAATTTTATTTTTGAACAAAGATGTGCTTTGCAACGATGTTGTGGATTGGGAAGAGTTGATATTTCCCATGAATCCATTGGATCTGTTGCAGCATAATGTCCTTTATTTTGAAAATTGCCATCATATTTTGGTGTAGCTGAATGGCTTTGAGAAGATGACTCTTTGGGTTGATTTAATATTTTTTCATCATTTTTGTTATTATTATTAGTAGTTCTTTGAATGGATTTTACATAAGGTGTAATATTGGGTTTTAAAGCTTTTGCACCATTTGGTAGTTGATATGATGTGGAGCTATCATTATGTCTAAGATTAACTACATGATTTTGAAATATATCTTTTTGAAAAAACATCTTATCACTTGTGCATGGAGGCTTCAAAGAACATGGGATACTACTTGTAAAATTGGTTGCGGATTGTCTACATTTGTATGTGTAATTTTTAAGAAGGATATTGAATTCATATTCATTTTTTAGTGCTACTATTTGAATGTGCTCAATAGTTGGTAATTCATGATGAATCACATTGATACTTTGATCACTATTAAATAATTTCTCATTTCTTTCACTCAAATCATGTGAACATGTATCAAGAGACAACTCATGCATTTGGTTACCAAACTCAATGTTTTGTTGTTTTTGTGGAACAAGTATTTTATTTTTTTCGGGATTTTTGTGAATTTTATTGGGTGAATCTTTTGAAATGGTTTTGATTTTTTTGATTGCTTCTTGATTGATCTCATTAGTTGGTTCTTGCATAAAGTGAGAATTTTGAACAAAACATTTAACTATGTGGCAATCAGATTCAATGTGACAATATTTTGATGAATAGTTTGTGAAAGAAAATTTTAAGTGGTAACAATTAGATTCATCATCAAATACGTTTTGTCTCACACGTTCGTTACTAAGGTTGGAAATTAAATTGCATTGAATTTCATCCACTAGAAGTTGGTTATTTTCATACTTTTGTCCTTTATTCACACAATTATCAATCAAAGTAATTTTTGTAGGAATTTTATCTTTATAATTTCTAAATTCCTTCGTTCGTACAATATTCTTATCAAAATCCAAATAAAATTGCCTTCTCTTATCATCAACATGCTCATTTTTTATCTTTTTATTCATTACTTCATTATAGTAAGTGATATTATGCAGTTCCTCTAATATATCTATTAAAACAAAATGAACTTGGAGAATAACATTCATGTTATTTTCATTGTGGCTTTTCAATGGTACATTTGGTTTGACATAATTAGAACTCCCAAATTTGAAGTTTTGTAGTAAAGTTAGTTGTTTGGAATCATATTCTAGTTCAAGAGTTCTTTGTAAGTTATTGACTACAATTGAAGTTAAAATTAGTTTCAGAATAGTGTTACAATTATTTAAAGAGTCATTGTTGTTGTGTTTTGTAAGCATTATATCTGTGAAAAATTGGAAAAGAACGCCATTTATAAATGGTGTTTCGATTTTGTCTATCTCATGTGAAAATGTGCTTCTAACCTTAATAACTCTTCTTTCATCTACAAAATTGCCTCTGTAGTACTCTGGAAATTCTTCCTCAGCCTCTATTTTATAAATATTAGATACGTTCTTGGATTTTTGTATTTTAAAAATATCTTCCAAGCACAAAATGTGGAGAAAATTTGGAAATTCATTGGTACCAGTTTTGAAATTGGATTCATCCATTATACATGAAAACACGTTGTCTTCCAATCCTATAAGTACACAAGAATTTTCTTGAGGACCATTAAAAACAAACTTGAAAACTTCACAAATGGAATTATTCTTCTTGTTAATAAATAACTCTCTTCTTAGACACGAAGCCTGAAATTTACACACCAGAAATTGTTTTTGTTGAGTTTTTGAAATAACTTGGGGATCCACCTTTGTTGCAGAATTACAGTATGATTTCAAATTTAACCTAACTATCCAAGTTCTTATAAATTAAGCGATCATAATTCATGGAAATTGACTTATTCAAACGAATAACATGAATTATAAAAGAATTAGAATAAGTTTATAATTTTGATTTAATTCGTACATACATCTTCAAACTAATTCACAAACACATGATTAGCAAAACATAAAATAATAATCATCATCATTATTATCATTAATATCATTATTGTATTTGTATAAAAACGAAACGGATTCATGTACAAACACAGAACTAGTTTTACAACAATTATGGAAGAAAACAATACTTTTCAACTTTTACCATTATAAAATGATGGTAAATATATGTTGAAAACCATTTTTTCATTTTTTTGATTGAATTCTACAAAACAGGAAAAAAAAAAGTGGTTTCTATTTCTTCATATTTGGTATTTCCTTTCTGACGAAAAATCAAATCTTAAAAGTATGAAAAGATATAAAATATTTAAGAAATAAGAAACCATAATTCTAAGTATTGAAATGGTGTCTGTTCTCAAACAAGAATACTAGAGTAACCCAACTTACATTTAAACTAAATCCACCTTATTTGTTCTGGTAACCAACTCTCACAATTGTTTAAACATAAAAAAAAATGCCATTTTGTAAAATATTTCATGGTTTTTGTAAATACCCTTTGTTATATATGTGTGTATGTATGTATATACACTAACATACTTACATACATATATGAAATAAGAAAGTCTATTGAAATAACTAATTTAACACTCTTTTGAAAAGCACATAAATAAACTAATAAAATATAAAAATGAATGTAATTAAATTACATGTTAAGCATCATACCAAATTTTTTATGTGGCACATTGAATTATGTAATATAGAATGAAATTGGTTAAAGTAAGCTCCTTGGAATAACATGTGAATATGTAGGGTTTCATTATTGCCAAAAGCTTTGCTTGCACAATATAATAGTTTTTTGGAAATAGCAAGAAAACTGTATCCAGATCAAAAGAAATATCATATATATATATATATATGATATAATATTTTTTTAAATTCAAGTTTCAAAACTATCAGATTTTATATTTAGAAAAAATTATATATAAGAATGGAAAGGAATACCATTCTTGTTGAAAATCTAATGTAAGACAATGGCTCCACTGTTGCAAATGCTTAAAACCAAAATATACGTTCCATTTATATGTCTTCATGCATATGTATTTTTTAGGTATTTGTTCCATTGCCTTTTAAGAATTAAATAAAAATTTATTGGTTTTAACAATTATATAAATTCTAAAATTTAGATTAAAACTCTATTGTTAATATGTAAAAACATTAAAAAGAAGTAAATCATGTACCAACTTTTATGCATTGTAGATATGTATTCTACATATCTAGGTCTAAATTGATAAGTTTAAACAAAAATAAAATAAAATAAATTATGATGCTTAAATTTTTTTGATGTGTGCATTAATGCATAGGCATACCAATAACAATTGAGACCATAGCTGATAGGTTGAGCCGAAGAGTAAAATTGTTGCAATTGGATATATAACTATGTATTCTGGTAATTTAAATTGAGGTCCAAAAGTAATTTCATAACAAGAGTTTTTATTTTGATTCGAAGAATCAATAATATATTTGCATGTAAGAAAACAAGAATTTGTCATATGTACAAGGGTTAAATTTGACACAAATATGGGATGCTCTTTAATCTTTGACCCGTATTTACAAAAGGACATTTTATTCCAACATTTGTCTTCATCTTTCCATTTGAAAATATTTGCATTATCTCCAAAATTATAATCAACTATGTCAAAAGTAGATTGTCTCTTGTAAATAAGATCTTGAGCTACAAACCAAACGTGAATTGAATCCACTTGAAGTCTAATAGCTTTGTTATTATTAGGCACCCAACACAAATCATCACAATGAGGTGTATGTGTATATTTTTCTAATTTATTTTCCATTAAGATACACATTACATTCTTGAAAACTATATATTCAACCATGGTTTTGAAAGCCAATATATTTTGGTGAATTTTTTCTTGCATTTGAAAATCCATAGAATAGTATTTATGTGATTTTTTTTGTAAATCCTTATTTTCATAACAATTTGATGTGCCTTTTATGTCAAAGATTTTTGATTGCTGTTGCCCAACAATTGCTTGTAAACTACAAAAACGGTCAATTATGACTTCAAATGTTTTTCCAATAAATTCTACAACTTGGGTTTCTTGTTGTATAAACATAGCTTTTTGAATCCCCTCAAAATATGCCACTTCATTATATTGTGAAGTAGTAGCTAAAAACTTGAATGTTTTTGGAAAAGAACTACCACAATTATGTTTTTTTTTCAAAGAAAGTGATTTCAGAATCTTGTTTCCAAAATCATCAATTGTGAAAATTTGAGATGTACATTTGATACCAACCCTTGTTGGTTGAATTTTACAAGGATATATTTGCATCTGTAATCTAATTTCACTATTATCCACAGAATGGACTTTCAATCCTTTGATATTAAAGTGTTTATTTTTTGGGTGTTGAGAAACTTTATCAGCTTGTAATCTTTTTGATTGGTTTTTGCAATTTCTTTGAAGAAGGAATTGTGAGCCATGCGTAGAACAATTGTCATTTGAAAAAGATTTTCTCTCAAGTTCCTATTACACACAAATTGCAAATTCATGTTAATTAAAATTTTCTAATGTGATTCTTATATATATATATATATATATATACTTACATAAATTCATACATACATGCAATGAATCCCTATTAACATGGTATAAATAACATAGAATAGAAAATTGTCAAATGATATATCATGGTATAAATTTATGTAGTAAATCCAATATTTTTCAAAGCATGTTCATATTATTCAGAATTAATTAAAAAAAACACAAAAAAGAAATCATAAACTAATTTATATTTGAATATGAAGATCAAAAGCATTTCTTTTAATCTCTTCTTTTTTTAGAAGGAAACGCATTATCTAAAATTATATATAAAACTGAATCATCTTATTCATAAAAATTATTTTGAGCCCTGCAACCCTTAAAATTCCATCATGTGATATTCTTAAAGCAGAATGAATGTAGACTTATTAGAAGTTAAATCAAAATTGACGAACTTGTTCAAAGTGATACATGAATTCATATGAGCTTGAACATTGATATTGTTGCAAAAAGATACATTCTTAAGGTATATTTTTAACGTTGTTATCAGAGGCTCCTTTCACTTACAACTTTGTTAACATAAAAACAGCAATTCTGATCATTAACTACGTGATTTAAACAAGGATTTATAGCTGACAAAGACCCAAAAAACTACGACTCCCAAGTCCGTACTTCCCACAGGCAACTAATTAATAAACAACGCACACAGCATTGAAAGCATTTTAGCAGTCTATAGACCTACATGTCAGCAACGTGGGCAATGCGAGTCTTCACTTCATAGACTTAGATGTCCTCTCATACTGTTGAGCAGGTATTGATCTGACCGATTTGCTACGAACAACAAAAGCTTCTATCCTGCAGAACGAAGTTCGCCCTGCCATGGTGCTGGTACTTACAGGCTGAGGAATTGAAGGCCGTTCGACAATACAGGAGGCAGAGGTAGCACTTACAGTAGGAAGCTGTGGAGAACTGTTGGGAATAAAACTAGAACCACGAGCTTCATCTTCATTGACTGCTGAAACAGGAAAGTCATTGACAGCAAGAGAGGCTACATTCTCTAAGGAACAAGGAACTAAAGGTCCACTACAATTGCTGTGGCCAAACTCGAAGTTCTCGGAGGCAAGGTCAGAATTCTCACAGGTTTCTAGTTCAGTACAAATGATGTCAGGAAGTTGGATCTGAGAGGACTCTTTGGCAGAAATGGAGACCTGAGTTTCTGAAATTGGTGTACACACAGAAGGATCAGGAAGCTTCAACTCATCACGACAGCTATGATATGAATCGACATTTTCTGGGGGATTGAATCTAAGGTTCAATGCAACATCAAAAGGTGACGCACGAGTCACATGAGAAGGGACTTCACACAGCAGCCCAGGCACATGCTTATATTGGACTCCCCTGTCGATCCTGGTTGGAACATCAACCTTATGTCTTCCTGGCAGGACTGCACGAGCATTAATCTGCTCTAGCAATAAGTCACATGCCTGCAAATGCTGTCTCAATCTGCCGTATTGCAACCAAAACGATGATCTCTGCCATGTCCGAAATCCCCAATGACACAAAGCTTCAGACTTATCATCCATGCTTGCAGATTTCTACAGGACTGAGAGTAATGCTTTTACTAAAAATTGAAAAAGCAACTAGTGATTCAGATAATCATTGAAGGTAAACCACATGCAGAAGACCTCGTAGAATATGAAGAGAAGAACAAACACTCAAAATGAATGCAGTGCATTTTAACGAAAACGAGATTACCGGGGAGAATGGCAAACAATAAATTCAAAAGTTCTTTAGTTTCAGCGTGTTGCTTTTTTGTGCGCTATCAAGAAAAATAAAATCCATGGGGGCTAAAATTTAACGAATCATAGGAAGAACATCAAGAGACTACTTAGTTCTGACATCCAAAAGAATCATAGCAAAGACCCGCAATTGTATCAACTCTCTTGCATAGTCTCATTTAAATGAGAACATCGCAACAATTGGGAATAGATTTTAAGTTTCAGTAACTTTTCCCACAATGCGAGACAAGCTGAAACTGCCTGCTTGAAACGCATCTCAAAGGGCGTGATATGGTTGAGTTAGCATTAATTATACGCTCAAGTAACTAGTCTCTGAATCATAAAATCATGAAATACATCTTTTGCTTCTCTCATGAACAAATCAATCTCAGAAAAAGGCAAGACACGTTGCGGAGCTATTGGTTCGCATATATGTATGACCCAATTCTTTCAAGAAGATTACCCACCTTCATAGGAGTATCCTTCTAGAGTAAAAAGCAATTCAGTTCATTCAAAATGAGATTTGAAAACTCATGACCAACTCAATGAAACACAAGATACATGCCAAAGAGAAGAAAGAGAAGGATAGTTAATCCACTTGATCAAGGTTCTCTGACGAAGAATGTTGGATCCTATGTGCTTCCTGCGGTATCTTCAACTCATCGAAGTCTCCAACAACCACCTGCGCTCATCGACGCAACATCTTAGATGAAAAATATGAATGAGACATGTATCGCTTGTTTCTTAAAACTTGCAAGCACAGAAAATGTGAACTCAACACCCAACGAAAATTAAAGTCCATTGTTCATTTGCATCAAGTAAGTCCGTACCATTCCAAATAGAAGGATTTTATCCCACTCTTGTAGGCATTAATATATTTGCGTTGTTCCAGTTACAAAAAAGAAAAACATACCTCATGTTGACAACCTGAATAGCTATAAGCCACCTTCAACTGCTTTGATTTACCCGGGCATGGATCACAAAAACCCATAAGACCGGCCTTACTGATTCCTTCGTGCAGCTATTAAAACACCAACGCAAAGCATAAATTAAATGCTCTTGACAAAAATCCAGATACATTTCAGTAAGACTAAGTTCTAGGGTCCCAAAAGAGGGCTTCATAAAGCAAGAGAATGTTGGTTCCTTTTCCGGATCACCATGCTGAGCTTCAACCAGCACCTTGAAACTGTTCCTACGATCTAATTACAAGACTGATAAAGAAGAAGGTAAGCAAAGTGCAAAAGATACAAATACCTGAAGGCGTCCAAGATCATCAACCAAGAACTGTAAAGGAATGGCAACATCTAAATAGGGAGGAGGTAGATCCGCATCATTGTCTTCGGTGCTTGCAGACTTATCCACACAATTTATCTCTAGCTCATATTCCCTAATATCACCATAAACGGCTGCCAGAACAACTAACCCCTGCCGTTGTGCTTGCTTTTGTTTCTTCCTCTCTGCTACATTCTTCAATAATAATTGTGATTTCTCCGAAGAAGCCCTCGCCTCAATAACCTGGATGCAAGAAGACAAGATTACTTAACTTATGACACAAAATAGAATACACAAGCAGCCTTCCAGTACTGAACTCATTGTTACGTCAGGAATTTTCCTCACTACGTTTGTGTTAAAGACTGAAAAACAGATCAAACTTCGATTCAGAAAAATAGAATGTCCAGAGGTATGTAAGGGACGTTTGAAAGAATCATCGGAGTAACCTGTGTGTAAGTTGCTCGCCTAAGTTCCAGGCTCTTTCGTCTATTTCTTCGGAGGTTGTAAGGTTGAAAAACGAAGGTCTGAATATCGTGACAAAACACACGAATTCAGTATGCACGAAAGCTTATATATTTCAAATTTTTATGACATCAAGTGTTCACAAGCTAAAAAACGAAGTCGCTAGTTGTGGATACACTCTTTCTCAATTTTTCGAAAGCGATAGGAATTCAGGACATCAACCTGTAAAGATTGGTGTCCGAATAAACAAGAAGAGAAGGTACCTTAAGTATTGCGTAAATGGATGATGGCATAATTAAAGCACCAGCAGCAATATACGGATTCAATGTTGGGCAGAGCATAATCTGGTGAAACATTGGTGTACTATACCTCAATTTCATCCTTTGTAATTATTATTTAATGCACAATCGATGGTTATCTAAAATGACCTCTGCATGATGACGTTCACAGAAAATCAAGCTGATGCAGTTCAGACATCTCACATCCTAACAATCACTAATCAAAACATGTAAAACTTCTAGTCGATAATCACCAGATTACACATCCAGTATGTAGAGACTAAGAAGACCACTCACAGGAAGGACGAACTTCTGGCCTCCTCGGGTGAATCGGACTTTCCAAGAAACACCCTGCAATACAACTCAGTGAAAATGCTAAGGGGAGGACTTTCAAATTGCAAGCTGGTGGATGTGAAGAAAGAATGCAAAGGTCATCAAAGACAATATAACTAGCTTCAACTAGCAAGATCGCAAAGAAAACGAAAATTGGTTATAAGACACAAAAATCAATACGCACACTGCTTGCAAGCAATTTCAATTACCGTGCGGCATGTAGAAGATTTTCTTTAGATACACCTCAAAAATTAAGAGATTTTGGAAATTAAAGATTCAGAATCTAATAGATGCAATTGAAAAAAGTGGTGTGAAAACCTGAAGTCCAAGCACGCAGAACATGGCAGCAGAACTGTGCTCAGAAAGTCTTCTCTCCCCACCCACCTTAACTTCTACTCCAGTGCTGAACCATTCACAAAGAAAGAAAAGACAAAAAAAAAAAAAAATTCCAAGAACTCATTGAGCAAATACTGTGAAAAATATGAACATTAATATAAACTAGCTGCGATTTTTGTCACAGAACAACAATCTGAAAGATCGCTTGCCCGAGGAAAAACGATCATTCTAAGAATGGTAGCATCCTCTTCACAATTCATACAATATGGATGGCTTGGAATAATTAGTGAACATTTGAGTTGTTTTCCACCAAGTTGATGCCTCAGATGTCGGTAAGTGTTACCAACCTGCCGATTTTTCCGGAGAGTCGACCTTGCGACTTGGAAGAAAAATGGCGAATGTATTGACCTGATACTCCAAAGGTGGTAGGACCTACCTTCAGAATCACCAAGTAAGCAAAGTTCACTTAGTCAGAGGTTTCTTTGAGTTGCAGATTCTAAATTACACAGTGATGTTGTAATGATAATTGCCATCCACTTCAGCAGCAACAAACTGATTCATCCAGTAGTTCATACCCACAATCAATGCGAAAAACTCCAGTTATCAGTGATATGATCAAGTTTTAATGCAATCTGATCAGTGTGGAGTATATAATACACTGTATGAAAGTACTCACCTATATTTGCACAGCAATACAGTTCTCACAATTAATACCTTCACATCTGCTGAGCCAGCATTTTTCTTGCCATATTTACGCAAACCGACTGAGATTCCAGTATCTGACCCAATAACTAGTTGTATCTGTACATTTTCAACACTAAGATCATGAGTATCCGAAACTGTGAGCCATCAATACATCTCAACATTTCACAAGGAAGAGAATCACTTGTTCTCCCTTGATGGCAATCTGATGATGAATTAAAAAGGAAAATAAGAAAACCCCACTCACATTGCCTGTAGTGTCCTCTGTCAGAAGGCGTGACCAATTATTTGCTAACGTGACTGAACCATCCCTCAACGAAACTGATAATCCTAAAGTCCCCCTTGAATGTGTAGAAAGTTGCCTGCAACCACCAAACTCAGCATTTTGAGTCAAGAACTACCATAAAGCAGTTTCTCACTGCAACGAACCAGATTAATAAAACTAACACCAATCTTAAATCTCCTTGGACCCGCAACGAACAGAAAATCTCATTTACAATGAAAACCACATACCTTGAAGTTTGTAGACTCAAAATCGAGCGGAGCCCAGCCATAGCTAGAAATTCTACCGTTGATATTGGTGAAAGTTGGCGCCTTAAACCCATTGTCACAGAGCCCCTGCCTAAACCACTCCTCAAAGCCATATTCCCTCCCAACATGACGGTATCCCTTTTCGATACCTGTGCTTGCACTAGTGTTGTCATAGCCATGCTGCACGAAAAACAAAATTTAAAAGATAATCGATGGACAGCTACAAATAAAGGTCCGAGAAATTTGTGCATGGATGCAACTTTCTCCTCAATTCATAAATTTACAGCCGTCAACAGTCTCCAACTTGAATCTAACCAAATGCCTCGAGAAGCCCTCCGAAATGTAAGTAAACATTGAACGGGGACCAGGCAATGAAGTACATTAAATTATGATCAGAGAACAAACCCGCTCATGCTTAGGGGATCATACGATTCCAACACTGGTAGTAAGGATAAGTTCATTAGCAATGATCCTCTGTGGTGGACATGAGCTGCCAATCTGCTCTCTTCTTGGCGTTGCTGTAAGCGTTCAAACTCAGCTCTAACCTCATGTCTTGATTTCAACTTCGGACCTAACTCTAAACCTGAAGTTAAGCCTTCCATTCCGTAGACATCATACACTTGCCGCTTTCGCTCATCACTCAAAATTTCGTATGCCTCCCGAATCTTCTGGAAATTTTGAGTAGCAGCATCCTGCATCTGTTGATAACTAATAAATCAAGATGAGTATAATAACAGTTTCTCAAATGGGGATCCAGTCACCTTGAACCAAGATCTTTTGCTAAGTACACAGGATAGTGTAAAGTATATAACGTAGTATATAGCTCCAGAAATCGTTCACTAAGTTCATATACAACTCTTGAGCCACATAATTCAAACGCACGCCGCTTTGTGTCTTCAGGTCGACAAGAACATACGAACGAGAGCAAGAGTCCTGGCGTGTACACAATCTTCAAAGTATGACCAGTGACCAATAGCAGAATCTGTAGAAGTGGAGGTTCCGAACTCAAAAAAACGACATGGGCGAAATCTAAAACAAAGGAAGCGGCTTTGAGCGACACATACGATTCAGTAATACCTGGAAAACAATCCCGCCATTTCCTTGACAAGAAGGAGTACATCACTTTGCGTTGCCAAACAGCCGATAGGTTGAGCACGAAATTCATGCAATTTCACAACGTACACAACAACTTATGAACCTAAGAAACCTCACGACTCAGAAAAGAACCGCAGGCATTTTAATCCTTGAGCTGCCCTCAACGTCATGACTTCACAATCATTAAGAGTCATCAAGCAACGTTTGCACGGGAAAGAACTTTCTACGCAAAAAACCACAGGATTGAATTCTTTAAAAATACTATAGAAGGATAACTGCACATTCAGAGTGTTGTACCGCAACTAAATGGGGATTGCAAGAGTCGGGATTTAAGATAGAGGATTTCATGAGTGAAAAATGCAGACGATGACTGCTAGGTTGACGAACTTGATTGTCAATTGCAACTAATGACTGTTGACTTCACACTTCCGACGCACGCAGCTAATAAAAAATGATTCAACAGCATGTCAACCTGATTTAACCGCAACTCAATATTCCAGTCGAACGGCACCTCTAACTAAACGTGTACACAACTATTACACTTAATCTTGACTGTGTTCTGAGACCAGAGTCCAACCTGGATTCTCTTAGCTTCCGCACAAACATCCTCGATGAATATAATTTACCCAAGATTTCAACAAAATCAAATAAAACATCAACCAAATCCAAAGGATGATTGAGCGCACCACAAAAAGCAGAAAAGGACATGATATTACGACCAGAAAACCTTCAAACTAAGTTTGAGACCCTACAACAGTCATTGCGCATCTCACGAGAATCTGACAGTTATTCTGTGAGGAAGCTCCACTCTCTCATCATGCCCTAATTACGCGAACATCTTCATGCTTCCGGCAGATTCCGACACCAGCCCAAGCTCGCGACAAAACCTGATACCCAAAAGCGGAGGAGTAAAACCTGCAGCGTCTGGTGCTTGTCAGGGTGGTAAATTTGCGCCCAATGTCTGAAAGCCCGCTTCACATCATCGTCGGAGGCCTCAGGAGATAAATGCAGCAGAGCATAGAGCTGTCGATCGGGTGGCCAATGCCGCTCTCGCTCCGAAGTCTCCATGACTCCTTCTAACAGACAATCCTTCCTATCGTCAAATCTGCTTCCACTTCCCTAGCAATACGCCATCCAAGCCATCCCCGGACGGTTTCAAGTTACTCCAAGCTCAAAGGGAAGCAGGTCTAAAGGCAGAAACCCCGATCCAAGGCAGCGAGAGCGCAATGCAGCGCGATCGAGGCTGCGACCATGAGGGCAAAAAAATTAAGAGAGGGAGAAAGCTCGCGAAGGAGGGGGCGAGGGGAATTCAAGGGAGGGTGGGAATGGAGAGTCGCGCGGAAGGTGCGAGGAAGGTGCCCTCGGCCCATGGTTCCATGGAGGCAAGACTTGCTCGGTTTCTCAACTACGACGCAACCAACGTCTTGTCAGCCCTCCCGCTCCCAACCACCGTTCCCCGCGTTCCCAACCATCGTTTTCCGCGCTCCCAGGCGGGGAACTAAGCTGTTGGATTCCTTATGTATGATTTCTTGTCTAAGGTGGGTCAATTTAGAAGAAAGGTGGGCCAATTTAACAATTCTATATTTTATACTATACTTGATACAAATACAATAGTGAGAAGAAGTAGGCACTCAACTGTCTTTTGTATTATAGAAAGGAAAATTTAGCAATATAAAGTATTTTTAAATATTACTAAATATTAATGTAAATAATTCCATTACACTATGATTGTATTGAAAAATTAATAGTCATTAATATTTTTTACTTTAGAGTGGGATTTTAGTCTATTTTAATTTAGAATAATTGGACTCTATTAAAGATATTAAAGGTTTTGCCTCTTGATTATATGTACAATATATGAGTTTTATTAAGATTGAATATAACAAGTGAATGTCAAGTTTATATGCCCCACAAATCTTGTAAAGAAGCCTTTACAATGTTATAAATGAGTTTCTTCTTTTCTTTCTTCTTTTTGAAATTCTTGTTTTTGTTTTTGAATTGCATAAATTATAAATTTGATGAATTTTTTAAAACTAATTGCATAAATTATAAATTTGATGAATTTTTTAAAACTAATTGCATAAATTTTCATAAGATTTGAAGTTGTGGATTTTTTGTTTGATTTGTTAAACAATGGATATTTAAAAGATTTATTTATAATTTAGGTCCAATTTTATAACTAAAAATATATAATTTGTGAATAAATTTATTGTATTTTTGGAGGTCTCAAGTACTTTTTTAAAAAAAAGTTTGAATGAACTATTAAGCATGACACAAGATAATTCAAGCATGTTACTGATACCACAACAATTTTATGCTATTGCCACCACAACTTGCCATCTTCTACATGTCATCACAATTTTTGCTAATGTCATCACATGTTGCCCTGAACTTGTATTGCACATCACAATATACTTTATAAAATATTAAAATTTACATCTATAAAGAATATACATTTTATATACTGTGATGTACATTAGCAATGTACCATAAAGTGTATTATGGTGTATAATGCTAGTTTAGGGCAACTTGCAGTAGCTTTAGTAAAAACTATGATGATACGTAGTAGATGACATATTGTGGTGGCATTAGCAATATCCTAATTCAATTGCATTAACTAATTCAATATAGAATTTATAAAATTAATAAATTCAAGGATCAAATAATTTGTCATCTTTAAAAATATTAATGATTAATTTGAAGAATGCAAACACATTGAAAATTTACATTTAAAATGTATATTTGAAATAAAAATATTTATTTTTTTTTCTTTTTTTATAAAAAATTAAAATGTCAACAATATATATAATTATCAATTTTAAAATGAAACTATCTTGAATTTTTTAAATGAATTTACTACATGTTTTTATTTGTTTGAACTATACTTTATATTCTTGAAAATTGCTTAATGAATCAGAATAAAATCTATATAAATATAAGTATATATAAAATAAATTAAATATTAATTATAGATGCTTTCCAAAGGATAAAATAATGTGTAATTTACACTTATTGTATAAGTTCAAAGAGGATACAAAATATAAAGAAAAATTGCTTAAACAACTTGTAAGCTTTAACACTACTAATTATTAATTTTCTATAGTATTACATATATATGATTTCAGTACATAGCATCGTGACATGAAGAAATAAATGGTATTCTCACCAGATATGTTTAGATTTTACTAAAACGAATGAGAATATACATATGGACAAAGATCGCACATAAACACTTGGATTCGAATAAGTAAAACGTGTTTATTATTTGGTTCTTTAACTTTAAAAAGAAGAATGATATCCATGTGATCTCCAACAACAAAATATGAAAAGAATTCTGAGAGAGAGAGAGAGAATGAGAGAGAGAGAGAGAGAGAATGAGAGAGAGAGAGATTAATCTGAAAAGACTCCCAGGGAAGGCTCCTCATCACTTTCCGAGCCTACGTACGTGAAAGTAGGGCTGGCAAAAGTAAGTGTACATCAGCTCTACTACTTCCAGGATAAAGGATAAGTGGGGGATGAACTCAGATGGGAACGAATGAATATTTTTCATCCATACGTCAATAAATTAATCCATCCGTCCGCCCTCTTTCCTACCTGTGTCGTCCCTGCTCCGCAGCGTTGTCCACCACAATTTCATTTTGCTTTGCCATCGCAATCCGCAGAGATATCTTCCTGATGTTTCCTCGATCCCTAGACTTCATCTTCTTCCACTTTGCGCCTCTCTCTCTCTCTCTCTCTCGTAGTAGTACTCTGAATTTGTGTGCTTTGCGGAGGTCTGAACCGATATTCCCCCATCCTTTGCCAAGTTAGGAGCTATGGCGGCCCTCACTGTGGCTTCCTCCGCCTGCGCTGCCTTGCCCGCTGCGCCCGTTGCTTCCCTCTCGCAATCGACTTTCTCCACCGCTTCAACTGTCCGGATGACGCCCTTGAAGGTAAACAGGCGGTTGTGCGTCGTTGCCATGGCTACTCCCCCGAACCGGGAAGACGTCAAGGACAAGGTGAGTACCCTCGCGTTTGTCTGACCATAAGGTTGGCCGAGAGATGCCTTTGATCGTTGTGCAGTGTTTGAGATTGTGGCTACCATGCGCGTCGTGATTTTTGTTTTTATTAACGGTTTGTGGTTTTAACCGATTCCTTAGAGTTATGCATTCTGAGTGTCGCACTTTGGAATTTGTAGAAATTTATCTGTTCATAGTGGCTGAATGAGAATTTAATTCTGACTCAATCTTGGCTAAGATTCCTACAGGTAATGGATCTTGTAATAGTGGTGACAGTACAGTGGTATTTGCAATGAGTGAGCGTTGAAATAGTGGCTGTATTCTCTTGAACGAGGCTTACAGCACTGTGCAATTCCCTTGCCGTTGGCTCTGCCTCCTTACACTGGCAGCTTTTATCTTTCATTAGGGATGATTATTTATTTATATCCCTCGAGTGTTGTTACTAGATTTTTGTCCTTGTAGAAAACTTCCTTTTAAAACTTGCGAATCGCAATTCATCTCCATCGATCCTAGCGATTGGCAACTCACTGAACTTTCTTCTGCACAGATTCCTAATGCTATTGCTGAGGCTCAGAAGGCCTGTGAAGAGGATCCTACTTCTGCCCCATGCGCCGTGGCATGGGACGAGGTGGAGGAGTTAACAGCTGAGGCTGCCCACCAGCGCGACCGAGAGAAAACCTCAGGCGACCCCCTTGAGAAATACTGCGCAGACAACCCCGAATCTGATGAGTGCCGAACATATGAGGATTAGAATACAGGAATGTGGTTGCTACTGGTATTTTACATGCAACACTGCGCTGCGTTAATTTGGAATGAGCGTTTTCTAGGCTGTATACTATACGCGGTGCTACCGTTGTACAGAAGTATTGGTATTCTTTAGAGGAGTATTCTGGAATCCAAGTTTTTCTAACCATCTAAACCGCACTCCTGATTTCCACTCCTTCTGGGCACTTGTGACATGTAATTCCCCCTCAATTTCGTGCTATATTTATTCGTGACCGTGGAATATGTATGCCAATTGTCAGGGCCATTGGACACTTATCTTGAAAATTTCCGAAATGTTGGACAACGAATTACATTTACCAGCTCTCCATTACAATCCCGAACCGAGCGAATAACCTAGCAGAGGTGATGGCAATGCTGCGGTTTGAGAAAAACGAATTATATTTAATTTGTCGTTCATGCATTCTTACAGAATTTTTGAAATTGCCAATCAAACACTGCTGGCACACCTGGATTGATTCGCAGTAGTAGATATTGTTTTCGCTGAAGTCTATTCTACTAATAAATACACTCATGCTGTCGGGCGTTACTGGAAAATTAATGACATGAGGTACATTTCAACTTCGTCACATGCATGAATTGAGCGTGCTCATAGTATCTGCTCAACCTGAACTTGTTCCCCTGATAGTTGCAAACTATACCATATCCGTAGTTCTAATGTAAGCTGAAAGCAGCGAGATGTGTGCATGGATAGCTCATTATGGTGGAAATCAACTGTCAGCATACAAGACCTTGGATAGTCGAGGCCAATCTGGTCTCGTCGTAACCTTGGTGAACGGATCATGTGTCAGAGGTGTATGGCCCAGAATGTCATTTCAGGTGATATTCAAGCAACTCGGTGTCTGAAGCCATGGATCATCTCTTCCATTCTACACGCCCCCGCCTCACGTTTGGCATTCAGAGGAGGTGGGTTCCTGGCAATCCTCGCAGTCTCTGCAACAACTTCCATTTCCTGGGACTGTCCAATGTAGTTGCAAGTTATCTGCCACTACTCGTTGATAAATACCATCAACTAAAATAGACGAGTTTCTATATCCATGGACAGTACGAAAGTTTATTTCTTATGCTTAATTTAAGCAACTTCTTAATAAAGTGTGAATGATATTCTTAAATACAAAGTTAAATAAAATAAATAAATAATAGTAATGATATTTCATCTTGGAAGTTACATCACATAATTTTACATGATATTAGAGCAAAGTGTTGCCCTAGTTTCTACTAGCAACTAGTTATTGTCTTCTTGATTTACAAAAAATACTTTATTTGTATAATTATCTTTTAAAATATTCTTATTTACTCACCGATTGTTTTATTACATAATAATTAGGCAATCAAGACTATGCCTAAAATTATTATTTATTGGTTATCATAATATCTTATCTAGACTAAGTTAAATGTTCTATATTAAATGTATTAATTGATCCATGCTTAAAGAAACTAATACTCATAGATATGCATTAGATTATTTGTTTGCTAGAAACAATACTTGTTAAACCAAGAACTATAAGCCTTGGTTGACATTCATACAAAACATTTTTAAAAAAATAAGATCTTTGGAATTTAGTGAAAAGATGATCATAAGAAGATTGTTTTACAAAACTTTATAGAAAAAATAAGAAACACAAGCCAAGCAATTAGATAAATCTTAGAAGTTGATAGATAGAAGATAAAGAAGGTTAAAATAATATTTAAAATTTCACTTAATTCCAACTTTTATCTATATATCAATGACTTTTGAAATCTTTGTAAGACTTAGAAATTTCTTAGCAATTTATTTTAAATATATATTATTTTTAATATTATGATTGTAATGAATAAATAAAAATATCTTAAAATAAAAATTATATATATATATATATATGTACTGATTCATATATCATTTAAATGATATTATTTATAACTTGAGATCTATTTCATAGTTACAAATAAATAAAATAATTATCTATTGCATATTAAGTCAACTTCTTTGTAGCTTTGACATTCTAATTTCTTAGGTATAGTTAAAATAATGATTTCCAATCTTCTAAGAACTTTAGAATTAGTTGCACATGCACACTATTGAGTTTTTATTACAAAAAATATCAAAAACTATCAAATAAAGTGTTAATACTTAAAATTTAGAGAATGTGCAACAAAAGATTTTTTGAGATTTATAATTTATAGAGTTAATTGAACCAAAGGGATTAAAAATAGAAAAATAGATAATAATATAATTTATTATATATATAAAAAAACCAAGTATATATCACAAGTGTGCAATGCATTTAGTTTGCTTATTTTATAGCTATATATCAACCTATTTGTAAATTTTGCAAATAATGCTAGAAGAGCCATTAGAGCATACAGTGCTTATTCAACAAAATAATGGTTCAACTATTTTTTAAAGATCAATTGAACAATTATTAAGACAATAATTTGAAGGAATATCTATATTTATTCTTTAAAAAACGTCTTAATAATTGTGTTATAACCATATATATTAACTCCAATAATTACCTAAATAATGTTACAAATATCCAATACAAAGATTTAAAGAATATTCTTAGAATATTCTATTTAGTTTTAAAAGATTCTAAAAGATTCTTAAAATATTCTTAAAATATTTCAATAAAATATTCTAAAAAGATTTTTAGAATCATCTAGGAGGTTTTTAAAATATTCTAATATATTTTAGAAAGTTTTAAGAAGATTAAAGAAGTTGTTTAAGAAGCTTCTTAGAATTGCTTTGTCTCCAAGCAATATGAAAACTTCTTGAGAAGCTTCCTAATATCTAGTATACATTAAAGTTGAGGTTGAGGAAATCTGCAATCTTGATAATACATCTTTTGGAGCTTTAGCACACCATTCTTAGTATTGATCTTATATTCATCTAGTTTAATGAAGTTTTTATTAGCTTTCTTGTTGAAACTCTTCTACTCAATTTCTTATTCAATCTTGTATATAATGTGTGCATGATATTTTATCAAGACTGCCTTCTTATCAATATTAGAGTTTATTCCTTCTTAATAGAGAGTAGATTATCCCTCTTCTTGAAGGCATCTGAGTGCTTTAAAAGTTGTGGATTATCTTTCTTTAAACTAGTATTCTTTAGATTTGTTTTGTTTTGTTTTGTTTTATTTTTTTTTTCTTTCTTTCTTTCAAGATGGTTGGAGGTAAAGATGTTAGTTTGGTTGAGTCTCCTAAGTCCAAGTTAGATATTATTATGAATATACTAAACAATTTATTTCATAGAAGTACTGAAATTGAAGGATTTTTTGCTTCAATTTTAGTACTTCTATGAAATTGAAGGATTTCATGATAATGCAAGTCTTAGAGTAATTTAGCTTGTGATGCAATTACTTTTTGAAACTTCTACATTCAAGAAGGTCGTATCACATGTACCTCAACAAAAAAACTTATATATTCAATAATATAAGAAGCCTCAGATTAGTCTTCTAGAAAAGTTTAATGGTACATGTTCAAAGTTTTGAAGGTTTATTAACCAAATTTGATTGATAACTTTTCTATAACTTGAGCACTATCTAATAGAAGAATTACAAGTTTATTTAGTTGAAACCTTGCTCACAAGACAAGCCATATTTTAGTTTGTTCTTTTATTTGAAAAGAGATTCCAAATCTTGAGTAACTTTGAAGCTTTTGTAAAAGCATTTGCAGAGGTATTTGAAGAACATAACAAGGACTAATGGGAAACAATAAAGATTTGCTCATAACATTAAAAGTCATGCTTTGCATCAATTTATGCATCTAATTTTAGATAATTGGCTTATAACATCAATTGAGATGAATAAGTTTTTATGACCCAATTCTATTGGAGATTAAAGGATAATATGAAAGATCTATTATTATCATTACTTAATCTTCAAATACTCAATGAAGATATCAGCCAAGCTATGAAATGCAATAATCAATTATTTCAACATCAATAAGATCAACACTTATAAACTTTGACAAAACAACATATTAAAATTTTTCACTCCATTGCTTCAACAAATATTTTACTTCCATACTTTGAAGTTGAAAATATGTAAATTTATGCAATACAATTCAAATTTCTTATAGAAAAAAAAAAGAAGTATCAATTTGAATAAGGCCTATATTAATATTGTAATGAAAGAGGCTACAAATCTAGGAATTGTCCAAAGAAACAATGTATAATCAAGACTAAGAATGTGATTGTTTAGAAAAACAAAGAGGCATAGTCACAATAGGGACCATATGGTTGGATATTCCAATACATCAAATTCATCAAAGTTCCTCTTTTTTTGCCTAATCTACTTATTATTTAATTATATCTTTATTTCTTGGCCTGTAAAAACTTCAAAAAAATGCCTTATTAGATTTAAGAGCATATGCTTACTTTTTAGATGAGGACTTTTTTAAACTTCTTAAAATTCCTCTAGTATGAAAGTCAAAAACTAAATACATAGAAGTAATAGATAGTCAACATTTATCTTCAAGCAATATTACTCATCAGACTATATTGCTAGAAATATAATAACAAAATAATAGAAAAATAATATTCAATATTATTAGAACCATGTCCAATTCTATTATTTTAGAACTTTTATGGTTGAAAAGATAATCCATCTATAGATTAGTGATTTCATAAGGTTGAATTTCCTGTAGAATCCCTTTGGGCAAAACCTATCAAGAAATCATAAATAACAAAGCCTTGATTTTTTAGAGTAAGAGCTTTTATGAAAAAAGTTAAGAAGGAAATACCATTTTTTATTTATGCAATCTCAACTTGTAAAGAAGCAAGCTCGCTAGTAGCTATTCTACAGCAATATAAAGAATTTCAAGATATCTTCAAAAAAAAGAATATTAATATATTGCCAAAACATTGATTGTATGATTGTGCGATAGATCTTCAAGAAAGGACTCAACCACCATTTGGCACAATCTACAAACTATTACAGAATAAACTTTTGGCATTAAAAGATTACATCAACAAAAATCTTGCAAAGAACTTTATTTGGCATTTCAAATCTCCAAAAAGTACACCAATATTTTTTATGAAGAAAAAAAAATAGATCTTTATAAATACATGTTGATTATTATGGTATCAAAAAAAATAATGATGAATAATTGTTATCTATTACCATTAATATTAAGGCTTTTGGAAGAACTCAATCAAACCAAATTCTATACTAAAAT